ATATGTGTGTGTGTGTGCGTGTGTGAAAATTGGAATTAACTCACCAAGGTGCCTTTTAATGTAATGGTAAGCTTTGCTTCGGAATTGTAAAGTTAAGCGTACTGAAGTTAAAGTATTACTAGGATGGATAACCTCCTAGAAAAGTGCCTGCCTATACGCCAAAAGATAAAACCGCGAGACTCGGTATGGGACGGGCCAAATCGGATAGTACCCCAAGTGAGTTAATCCAAGAATATCACAATAAATACAAAAATTGAGGTACGCCAACTGAAATTAGGGACCACATGCAACGTTATTTTCTTGGCCTTCATAATAAAGTTCTAGTTTGATCAAATAAATTCGATGGAGTCATTCATACATATAATTTAGTGTTCAAAGGATAAAACGATGTGTCAAGGACTCAAAAGAAAAAAAAAAAACTTTACTAGCTTCGAGGACTTCCCCAAGGAGCTCCGCTAAGGACTAGTATCGGATAATTTGTCAAGGATTAAGCTGAATTTATTTAGAAAATTAGGACCCTTTAAAAAAGAACTTATTGATGAGATTAAATTTGACGATTAATACCCACGTATAAGAAGAAATTCTCACAATAGTTAGCAACTTATTGTCACCTTTGTAATGGACCTAAAATTTGGTTAGAAATCCATATCATTCGACTAGATGATATATATCATTAAAGGAAAAGGATCACCTTTCTCCTCTACATACCTTTCTAGTAATCAACTCATTCAACAACATGAATGAATTTCTGAGTATATAATGGTGCTACTCTAATTCATCTCAACACATCATTGAACTAGGTCACAAAGCTGTCAAGGCTCTTTGAGAGAGAGAGAGAGAGAGAGGTCAAGTACAGTTTAGGTGGGAATAGCCATGGTGGTAATAGCATCTAAGAGAATGGGCTTGATGATGCTTGTGGCGGCTCTCATATTGTGCTCGTCTATTGGTGCCAACGCCGATGCGCACATACTTTTGTCGCGCAAGTGGTAGTGTGCATTTTTATGTGCCTTGACAACCCCTGTAGTTCCATGCGTTCTCAAATGCCTCCTTAATCCTCCCGCTGAGTCCTTGACGTCCGCGGTATTGCAGCACTGCGATGTCAGTTGTTTCTTGTCTAATTGCCTGATTATCATCTAGGTAAAAATCTCCACATCAAAATCAAAGATATAACGTAGCTTCTTATGAGATCCATAAAACCAAGGAAGTCATTATGTAATCTTGTTTTCTTTATCAGTGTCTCATTGATATATTTTAAATATGAGAGGATGGTTTCGTACTAAATCATTTCATTTCCTTCAACTTCGATATGTATACTCTTGTTAAAAGAAATTCGATTTCTATTTTAATCTGAGTCACTTTTTAATCTCTTGTTTCATATTCGAACTTATGTAGACACCGAGAAAGTTGGAATGGACGTGAACAAGGCTAGAGCTTGTGCAAAGTCATGCTCTCGGAGTTGCCAGAAGACCTATTCATTGCACTGAAGTCATTTAACTTTTGTAATGCCTTTGTGGCTTCATTGCTCAAAAATTAAAAGTGCCTTTTTAATATTCAACTTGACCGTGAGATATAAATACAAAAGAAAAGGTAACCTCTACAAGATAACGAAGTTGGCTTTGTCATGCCTCTACGGATTCGTGTCAAAACACGATTGTATGTCTTCATGCAATTCGGTGACCTTACCAAGCTTGAATACCTAGATCCGACGATGAAATCGTCAATTGCTCTGACCATATGTTTTCTGTTTTGGGTTTGGAATTGACAAAGCTCACCAGTTCGAAAATCGAAAGAATCATATCACAATTAGATGTTCAATCAGAGTAAGCACTGCCTGTCAGTCAATTGTGCCAATCTCTCATCGATATAATTCCAGTATACTTGTTGAGCGATATTCTAGCTCTGTTTCTTTTGGTAACTGCTGCATTACACTCCAATATAGAGGCACATGTTTTCTGATTACAGAATCACCACAAATTTCATGGGGAGACATAGAACCTTTGCGACTCATTTGTTACCTCCTCAGCTTTTTAATGGATTTGCTGCAAATTGTCTCTCCAGCGCCTTCAGTTTTTCCGTCTATGCCTTCAAATCTTCTTTCATTGAGTCTACTTCTTCCCTTAAACGTTCGATTTCTTCTTTTTAGTTTTGTAAGAGGGGGGTCTTCTCCTGTCAGCTCCAGTTTCACCTGAAAAGAAAAGATGGCTAGATCTTGTAAGTAATTTTCAGGATTTTTAGTACGCAATGACTTTATAGATAGTTTCATGTGCATACACTTTCGACATTTGTGTTGAAGATGACATCTATTATGTATTACAAAAATTAAAACTTTTTGTTGAACTTATTCCGTGAATTTCTTAGCTAGCATCTGAAAAATGCCTTTTAATTAATATTTTTAGATCGCACAGCCAGTCAATAACAAAACATCCTAATATTCGAGATCATTGTCATAACTCCTCTATTTGTTTTGTTTCCTTCCAAAGAACCTTATGAACGAAATATTTATCTCTAACATCGACTTCTCCTCTTAATTGAACATACATTTTTCTATAATACTCCTTAGAAGAACACGGACAATTTCAAACCATTCATGTTCTTCGATAAAAAAAAATCATTCATGTTTAAAATCAACTTATATATATATATATACTACATATATATAACTAATAAATTATTAAAAAGACAAAAGGACATTGACCGAAACATTAATAGCGTTCAGGGACGAAATTAAGGTACGCCCAAGATACGAAAGACTTTGTTTTTGAAAATGTCACTGGAATGAAAAATGGTTAATATCACAAAAAATAGCAAACTGGTACACCTGCGATAAATTTACCGCGAACCAATTTTTTGACCATCAAAAACTCTAAGTTGGTACACCTATGACAAATTTACCCCGAACTAATTTTTTGATCACAAAATACCCTAAACTGGTACACTTGTGACAAATTTACCATCTGTTAAATTGAATTAGTACCACGAAAAATCACAAATTAATAAACCTGTGACATATAGAGGGGCAAAATCCCAAACTGGTACACTTATTATCTGGCACATGTCATTTAATTTAACAATTTGACAATAAAATTCAACAAAAACTAACGGAGGGTAAATTTGTCACTGGTGTACCAGTTTGGATATTTTTGTGATCAAAAAACTAGTTTGGTGTAAATTTATTGGGGTTTTTCGTGGTATTAACCTAAAGAAAAAAAGCTTAAAAGAGCAGTTTCACCATCAATGACAAACAACCACGTGGACACACGCATGCGCATGCAAGAGAGGAAATCAAATGGGTTGGACTGGCTCACCCATGTTCCGTTTACGACGGTGGACTCTCGATACCACATAACCGGAACATGTCCGAACGTAAATTGCTCTCTCTTTTTATTTATTTATTGTTTCTCTATATGAATTTCGCCAGCTCAATTAACAAAATTAGATTCGAAACAACGCTTGGCTTGGTTCTACTTCAACGCTGAAAATGTGGAGTGAGATCTAATTTTGACTTTTGAGTTGTTTAGGTTTTAATTAATTCGTATTTTCACTTTTTATTTAACTAGTATGTGTATAGATGGTTTTATGTTGTTTAAAATCGTGATGAAATTTTGTTCTTTTCAATTACGTCCCACCAAAAGTAAAAAAATAATTTATATCTATATAAAGAAGAGCATCGTTCCGGAGGTTTGCAGCTCCGAAACCCTAATAACTCTCTCCCTTCACAGCCCATCATCATCATCATCATCATCTAGTCTCTGGCTCGCTCACTCCTTGTCATCTCTCATGGAGGTGAAAATCGGAGGCGGTCCTTGTCTGGCATTTGAATCACCCTCAGCGACTAAGGCAGACGACGGGGCCGGGCCGTCCAAGCCCCTGGATACGAGCGTGACCGCTCTGATGCGGCTCGATAAGATGGGATTGGATAAGGAGGCCATAAAGATCGGGATGGAGATGATGGATCCGGTGAAGCTGGAGGAATTGAAGCAGGAGTGGCGGGGTTTACGATTGAGCGAGATGGCCTTGATGACAAAACAGGCCAACCTCCTCATGGAGTCTTATCAGCTGGCCAAGGCAGCAAAGAAATAGGCTTGGCCAGGGATCTAATTGTGGGATGAAGCTATCAGGAGCTTACGATGCTCTTTTTTTATTTGTAATGTATATTCTCTGTCCACGGGAACTTCTATCATGTACATCTCTTTCAGTTCCGTGCCTGTTGAAGTCCAATTTGTAATCAATCTCCCTCATTTCATATATATAAAAGGAACTTTAGAAGTTGATTATGGTCAATTTTTTTGCTCTTTTTTCGTTGCATCTATCATGTGATGACTGTATTCTTAGATGGCAATAGATGTTTATAATGCCAACTACTGTCCGTTTTACCCGGAATTGGCAATGACCAGGCTTGCAGCCTACTATAAATAAAAGGAGCTGTACATTTACCCTGCTTGGGCTTATGCAATGCCAGAATCTATACTGAAACTTCCTCTTTCACTGCTGGAATCTGTGGTTTGTACTGTTAGATTCCGAAAACCGATGAACGGTTGAAAACCATCAACGAAACAGGATCATACATGTATAATTCATTGAGAAAGCATAAACACGGAAGCGTACCTGAATCCATAGCGTAGGCGTTGTTCGGTGTCGTGCGGGTAGCCTTCCGAACAATACGTTTTCTCTAAGAGTTCCCTTTGAATTCGCTTTGTGTTTCTCTCTTTCGATGGGATGAAGAGGAATCAGTAACTTACGTACGTTACGGGACCATAACCGCTCTTATAAGGTAACCCTAATGTTACCCTTTAGAAATTACAATTTTGCCCATCATAAAATTGTAATTTCCCCTTTTAGTCTCTACACATTAAAGGGCCACACCCTATTTGATACATTAAAGCCCTAAATTACCTTAACTTAATTTATCACTTTTAAAGGGCTTAACTTTATATGACAGTATGCATTGCATTATTATTTCACATATAACCCAACGTTGGATTAAGGATCCAACATGTACATCTCTTACATATTATGTGATTGGATACAGTCCTGAGGTAGGCAGGTGAGTTTTAACATGAGAGTTCTTCGTTATACGACCTTACATTACCTCGCCTTCATAAACTTATCTTACATTTCAATATCATCTAATACTTTTACCAGCATTTTACTCGTAAGTCCTGACTTCTATTGCTTTACGCTTGTTCATGCAGGTTCTTCTGCAAACTAATAATTTTGTTCTCTGCGCACTTGTCCTCAATATCCATGTTCCGATTTCTGGCCTCAATCTTTCAAACCGCGGTTGCTTCCACCACAGCTGGTAGTTTTGCAATTCTGATAATGATGCTATTTGGCACATTGGCGGTTTCATCATCCCAAAATGTAAGGATGTTCGGATCTCTAATCGCTTTGATTTTGGATAAATAAGTGAGGCTTAATTTTTCGCTTTGTTGCAGCAGCCTCTACTCCTGCTTTGTTGAAGTGGGGTTTCTGGGTCTCTCCACTATCATATGGAGGAATTGGACATTCTGTTAATGATTTTGATGCTCCACGATGGAAAAAGGTGATGGGCACTTAATGGTTTGCTAACTTTGCAGTATGAAGGTATTGATAAGGAAATAACGGTATTTGGAGAAACCAAAACCGTGGCGGCCTTCTTGAAGGATTATTTCGGATTTCACCATGATCAATGGTATGTCCTTTCCTTTTGTTCTAGCGACTCTTTTTGCATTCTGTATAGGGCGCTTCAACTTCCAGAGAAGATGACATCAGACTTCTCTGTTAGTATTACGGTGTAAACTCTAGTTGTACAATCCTCAAAACTTAGCCAAATAAAGTGAATAGGTTTTTGTGACAATGGAATGGCCTCATTCAAACATTTAGTATTCTGGATTTAAAAGTGTCGATGTTTTGGTAAGGCCAATTTGTAAAAGCTTGGATGAGGATTCATCGTTAGACAGTATGGAGTACAGCGTCTTCTTCGAATATCGTATTCATGCAAAACACCATATACCTCTCTGAGAAGAGCACACGACGAATAGCACAAAAACAAAGAGCAATAGCATTCGGAACAACTTTTCTAGTCATAAAGAGATCACTAATCAGATAGACTTTTACATCTCCAGTTGACAGAACAACTATTACAATGGTTACAACTTCTGACACGAGTTGACACGATATGCAAGTAGACATTGGCAAATCATACAGTGAGACACATTGACAATTTAAGACATGTAAGTTTTTGCTACCAAAATAAGAAGACGTAAGTTTTTCAAAATGCTTAGTAACGATATAATACTTCCCAATAGCACAACTTGACATTAATACATACTCCTGAATTTAACATGCGAACATGAATTGCTGGCCATAAATCTTATTTAAACAAGGAGGCAAACATGAGCATAGGATTCGATCAAGTAAGGAACGGCAGATTCGGTTTGATTTGAGTCAAGATCAAGGGTACTCCATTTGAGGTTTAAGAGTGACCAAAGGAGTCGAGGCATGTTTGTAAGATGGAGATAGCTCCATTGAGAAGTTTTGCAGAACCAAGGCCAGGACAGCTTTGGCTTCCAGGAGTACATAGTTTCCCGCAATGGAAGTTCTAGGACCATAACCGAAAGGCAGAAACGCTAACTCATTCCTGGTCACCTTCGAGACTCCCTCAGAGAATCTCTCGGGATTGAACTCATTGGCATCATTGCCCCAAATGTCTTGATCACGGTGGATCAGAAGCAGCGGCAAGAAAAGCTGAACTCCGGCAGGTATTTGTATATGTTCTGTCGCGACCGACCTCCCACTTTTTTTTCGTCAACATGCAAAAAAAAATGGGTTTCGCCTGGTACGTGCTAACTCTATGGTTTAGGACTTAACTCGGGCTCTCCCAAGCCCATACCATATCGCAACTTAGGGTTTAAGTTTTTAACATGCAAATGATTTATACCAAGGAATCGCCATTAATCGATTTGGGGTGGGTCGATTAGAAACCCAAATAAGGTGATGGGAGAATTACCCTATTCCTGCGAACTAGAGATTAACTGAGTTCGAGGACTTGGTTACACTAGTTGGATAACTAATGCCCTTTCGGCACCTTTTTACCCTGTTCACTTCATGAAAATATTTGTCAAGCAATTTAGATTGATTTTAGGACTTTTCTCCTAACATGTGAGGTGATCAAGCGAGTGCATAATCAGAAACGATTAGCAGTCAAGAACACAACAATTCATGCAGCCTAAGATTCTAACCTTAACTAAGTCAGATGACATTCAAAAACACAACAGTTCATGCAATCGTATTAAAAACATGCATAATAATACAACGGTAATAAAAATAATATGCAAAACTACCGCGCAACCTCATAGGCTTGTTTAATTTAAACATGGCAATTTATGAAATTATAACAACATGCATTAAATCATAAGATATACCACATACATTAGAAAAGAAAAATTTTTAAAAAAAAAATTTTTGATTTTTTTTTAAAAAGGTAAATAAGGAAGAAGAAGAAAGAAAAAAAGAAAAAAAAATTTAAATTTTTTTTAATTAATATTTTAAAAAAATAAAATAAATAAAATAATAATAAACGGGTCGGGTCGCGGATCTGGACCGGGTCGGAATCGACCCGGGTCAATGGATCCGACCCGATCATTGAACCGGGTCGGGTCAGCTGAACCGGGTCAAGCCGAACCAGCCTGCACAAGCGCCGGCGAAGCCGAAAATCGGCCTCTCGCCGGCCGACCCAGACCGGCACCGACCAAAATCCAGCCCCTAGGACCACCACCAAACCTCGCCGCCCACCTAGGTCGCCGTATGGCCACCGTTCGCCAGCCGGCGACCGAATTAAAAAACGGCCCCATTGAGGCATTTTGTCGAACACCGGGCGTGCGCGACCAAAAATAGGAGATTCTGACCTGTTTCGAGGCCCCGCCGTCGTCGGGAAACCTGTTCTTACCTCTGGCGACGACGCACGAACGGCAGGGGAAGCCGGTATGGGCCGGGACTCGCGCAAAACGGCCGGCGCGAGTCCCAGCCAAACCGAGCACAAAAACATGGGAAAACAGAGGCGGTCGGGACCCGGGGGAAGCTCACCGGTCGACGGCGCGGCTGGAGGCTTTCCGGCTGATCTGCGGTCGATGGCACGGCTGTGGGAACCTGTAGAAGCCTGAATCTCCTCTCTTTCCTTCTCTTTTCTCTTGGTCTCTCTCTCTCTTTCTCTCGATCTCTCTCTCTGTTTTTTCTCTGAAAATGGCCGACCCCCTCTCAGTCTCTCTCTCCGATTTTTATAGATGACGACGCTCACTCTCTGCCTCTCTGCGTCGGCGTGACGACGGCCTGCACCGGCCTACGCCACCCCACGACTTCCGCGGCCATTTGCAGGCCGATGCAGAGCAGAGCAGGGGGGCCGGTTCAATGTGCAGAGGCAGAGAGGAGAAGGAGGAGAAGGAGAGCCCGCGAAATCAGGGAGGACGGGACTGGCAATTAATGCCAGTCCCGTTGGCGTGCTCATCCGGCCCTGCTCTGGCCGGATAGCGACGGCGAGGAGCGGCGCCGCCGTGCGTCAAGCTGCTGTCGAGAACAGGGGAGAACAGGGGCAGCGAGAGCGACCGTGGACGGGGGAAGAAGGAAGGAGAAGGGCTGGGCCGGGCCAGGCCCAGCCGCGCGGGGGGAGAAGAAGGGAAAAAAGAAAAGCGGGCTGGGCCTACACAGGGGGGAGGGAGAATAGAGAAAAGAAAAAAGAGTGGGTTGGAGCCCATGCGGGAAAAAGAAAGAAAAAGGAAAAAGGGCCAGGTCGGCCCGGCCCCGACCCGGCCCAACTCGATTTTTTTTTATTTTTTTTAAAACTCTAATAGACCCTATTAATAAAAATATGCCTAAATTCTATATGCAATACATTTAAATAAAAATGTTTTTTTTTTGTTTTAGGAATTAAAGAAAATTAATTCCTAAATTTTGTGTAATTAATTTTGGGCAAATAAAAAATAGGTGTCAACAGCTGCCCCTTTTTGAAGGTGAGCTCGCAGAGGTTGAGCTCGTAGAGGTTACATTGAAAGATAAAATGACACCTAAATTTGGCCTATGCATGCTCAATGAATGCTATTTTTGGCGAGACTGGAGTCCCATTTTTATGATGCGATATAAGATGATGCTGCTAAAGCAAATAAAAACATACCTGGGGCTACTTACCTTGCCGAAGGGTAAAGTAATTCCAGATAGTTGATATTGTATGTCGAGGACCCGAACCTGTCTTCGGTCGCCTTGACGGGGGAATGGTTTGTCTAGGACCCGAACCTATCTTCGGTCGCCTTGACGGGGATTGCTTTTATTTAGGACCCGAACCTTTCTTCGGTCGCCTTGATTGGGGAAATCGCTTGCCTAGGACCCGAACCTATCTTCGGTTGCTTTGACTGGATTTCGTTTGTCTAGGACCCGAACCTTTCTTCGATCGCCTTGACTGAATTTCGTTTGTCTAGGACCCGAACCTTTCTTCGGTCTCCTTGACTGGGGATTGTTTTGCCAAAATACCTAGGGGTCTCGCCCGAGGATTTAATGGTTTGCCTGGTGGGTCCTCGCCAGCAGGTCTTGGAGAGACTCAAACGATGAGCACCTAGGGGTCCTCGCCCGAGGATTTGATGGTTTGCCTGGTGGGTCCTCGCTAGCAGGTCTTGAAGAGACTCAAACGATGAGCACCTGGGGGTTCTCGCCCAAGGATTTGATGGTTTACTTGGTGGGTCTTCGCCAACAGGTCTTGGAGAGGCTCAAACGATGAGCACCTGGAGGTCCTCGCCCGAGGATTTGATGGTTTGCCTGGTGGGTCCTCGCCAGCAGGTCTTGGAGAGGCTCAAACGATGAGCACCTGGGGTCCTCGCCCGAGGATTTGATGGTTTGCCTAATGGGTCCTCGCCAGCAGGTCTTGGAAAGGCTCAAACAATGAGCACCTGGGGGTCCTCGCCCGAGGATTTGATGGTTTGCCTAGTGGGTCCTCGCCATCAGGTCTTGAAAAGGCTCAAACGATGAGCACCTGGGGGTCCTCGCCCGAGGATTTGATGGTTTGCCTGGTGGGTCCTCGCCATCAGGTATTGAAAAGGCTCAAATGATGAGTACCTGGGGATCCTTGCCCGAGGATTTGATGTGAATAGAGGGGGTCAGTCTCGTGTTCAGGAGGGGTACCATAACAATCGTAGGTACCTGGATTTTTGGAAACGGGCATGGGTAAACTGTACTTACCTAGGCACGTTCCTGCCTCTTAAGGGCGTGTCTCCTGTCAGACGAGTTTTTGTTTGTGCAAACACATACGCATTCATTGGAGAAATAAACAACTAAGGCTATTCTGGAATGTCATAAGAAATATCTTGACCAGCTAGCCAAGATGCTTTTCTTTTTCAAGGGAACACCCTGTTTACCTTCTGGGTAGTTTGAAAAGAAATATGATGAAATACCTGGGATTTTTTACCTGGAGGTTTAATGCATCATCTGCTGAATACCCGACCTTTTTCGGGGCATCTCTCTTGGGATGATAATGAGGGCTTCTCCAACGCCCGAATTTTCGTGCCTTATCACTAGGGATCAAAACTCTGAGTTGTGAAAGACGATTAGCGTGAACATGCATGCATTCATCAAGGGTAGACAAGCTTGGCTATTCCAGAATGTGTATTTGGAAGTTCATGCATGATGATTTTGCCATGTTTGCATCACCAAAAAAAATCCACCGAGGATCAATCAAGATAATTTTTGTTCGCAAGGTGGACTTCTCGAGATGATGAGCGAGGGACTTTCAATCAAAAAGGACTTTCCACTCACTTTCATTGAAAAGGGCTATTTGTCCCGTCTATTAATGCGGGAACATCGAAAATGCTCAATCTGACCGTTATCACATCCGCAAGAGTCTGAGTTTTCTCGCAAGCGGTGCGACGCTGCCAATTTGAGAGGTCTTCTTTAGGGTCATAATGCTGGCTTGATCAATGGCTT